GCAAACAATTAAATTTAAAACATCTCTGGGAGATTTTGCTCTCTTCCAGAAATGAGTTAATAAGAATTTTCAATTACTCGTTATAAGTCCTCAGCAGAGCTGGAAGCTGGCAGAGCACAATCACTCTCTGCTGTGCTTAACTCAATGCAGCGTGTCCTTCCAGCCCACTGCAATCTCTGGAACTGTATCCCCAGGTCCACTGCCCACTCTTTTGGTGGGCCTTCAATTCAGGTACATTTGAGGGTCAATATGAGATCATTAGCATGACTTTAATTCCTATTTTAGCAACAGAAAGCAGAGTTGGTGACCATTAATACACTTAATGCCTGCACCTTCTGTGTCCTTTTGTTAACACCCATCCAGTACAGCCGTGCAAAAAAAACAATTCATGTCACAGTACACAGATACATGGATGTTTCACACACCATCCCTCAACCACGTGGATATCAGATGTAGTGAAGGAGGGGCAATTACAACTCAGAAGAGAAGGAGTGGAGAAATGTTTCCCTGCTGCCTACTACAACTTCAACACTAGTAAGCAATGATCCGTATCACGCGAGTACAGCAGTGTTAATTATGGAGGAAAAAATATTTTAAGAACCATTTGAACTTCCAAGTGAATTATTTTCAGTCATTTTACACAATCCTAGATGAGCAATTTTGTAACAAACATTGAAGCTGTTATGAATTACTTTGAAAAAGTTTGTGCAGAGGAATTTTCTAAGTTTCATGCATGATGAAGATTCTCTTGGAAACAAGTTTTAAACCTACGCCAAACATATTTGTGCAGGTGCTTATGTGCCAGCCAGCTGTGGACTGGTAAGTCCACAAAACATGACACATAAATCAATCATGGCAACAACTAAGCTCAAATTCCCTTCATATACAATAAAGTTTAAGAACAACATTTTAAAAAAGCATTTGAATGATTAATACATAGTTAAGAGAATCTCAAGCTTTTCTGCAAGCTGGAAAAAATACATGCTTATAGCAAATGATTCTTTTCCCTAACCAAAGAGGATTTACCCTTACCAGGTAATCATCCTCTATGGTGGTTCTGTTACAATGCAGCTGAAGTCATACTGCATTTAGAGTTCCAGACTGGTTTCCACCAGTAGTACCACAGCATTAAAAGAGAGAGAAAGAAATGGGGCAGAAGTTCAGACCATGCTGTTCCTCTACATCTGAGCTGACTGCCATCAGCTGAGCTCAGAAGACAAATTGCATCCTTCATTCTCTTACTGAAAAGGTGTTTGAGTGAGGCACTGGCTGCAAAGCATTCAAGGTATAGCACGGTTTCGCTTTGCAGGTATAGAAAAAAACTTATTTTTTGCTTTAGAGCACTTTCATATATGAATTAAATACACTCTTGTGGACCTCATATTCCTTATTCTGCTTTTTTTTTTTTTTTTTTTAATATTTACTTATAATCTGCTGGGCAGTGGAGAAATCTTACACTACAATAACAGTCGCTCCCTACTGACACAGATTATAGTTCCCTGTTTTTAAGGCAAGTCAGACAAGATTATAACATTTGTTTACTGATGCTGCAGCAGTCAGCTACTGCATAGAAACATATGGACTAAAAAGAAAAATAACCTGTTTGTACTGTTAAGGGAAATAGAACAAACTGAATGCACTGACGCTCTTCAGTTGTGCCCCTCTTTCCCACAGCATATCCCTGCCCCCCGTCCCTCTCCTTTAAATGAACTGCTTCTTTATCACTGGATGGACATGCAACTCTTCTCTAGAAATCTAGGGAACAAAGAAATACTTAAATTTCTACTGAATGCAGAAAAATAACCAAACAATGATATAAAAGCAGCCATAAAATTCATACATCAAAGTCAAGGGAAATCTCTGTATTCTGCGGGTAATGCTTACAAGGTAAAGTGGCATGCAGATTTCTTATTTAATAAATTCCCACAGAAAATTAGTTTTTCACAGTGGGAAGAAATTCAAGGCTCGCCGCAATGAACAGGCAGGATCTAATCACTGTTCTGGCTTTGTAGATACACCAGGGCTTGCAGATATTTGAATGATCCAATTATTCTGTTGAGGCACAATCACCTTACCTGCATACTAATCAAGCAATATGCAACAAGAAACAAGGCTGGCTTTTCTGGAAGCTCTAGACTTATAAGGCTCCCTGGTTGACCTTCTGTCAATTGCATTAACTTCAATTCTATTAGCTCATCTTTTGCCCAAAGGTGACATATGCACAAATCTATAGGGAAAATTGCCTAAGTCAACTTTCCACTGCACATGATGCAGAATAGTTGCTCAGCGATGCAAACAGAAGGCATTAGTTCTCAAGCTGGATACAGTTACACATTAAATAGCTACAAATTTTTCAGACAAGAAATCTCTTCAGAAACTAGAAGCCTACTTCCCATAAAAAGGACAAGATTCCATTTGCTAAAAGGAACACCATTAATTACTCACTTTTCTACTTTGTGAATGGCAAAAGGGGAAAAGAAAAAAAAAAAGAACGGACATGGGCAAGATCATTTGTGGTATATCAGCATTTAGCATAATGGCTGTGGGGTTTCCTATTTCGTGAGGACTCTTTTAGGAAATATAGCTTTATTACAGTTCTTTTTTCTTTTTTTTTTTTTTTTCTTTTTTTTAAACCTGACTCCAGACTCAGATTTTGTTGTATAGAACACTTTACTGATAGAATCTTGGATCACAGCCACCTGGAAAACATAATGTTAAAAGTTTTCTTCTGTTTCATTACAAAAAGCTTACTGCCTAAGTTTATAACAGCTTTCTTGTAAAAATAACAACCTATGGAAGACTTTTAAATATCTGACAGGATTTCATATAGCCACCTGGTCATGATTCAGCTGAGATAGAGTTAATTTTCTTCATAGAGTCTCATATGGTGCTGTGTTTCGGATTTAGGAGGGAAATAGTGTTGATAACACTGACATTTGGCTGCTGCTGAACAGTGCTTGCACAGAATCAAGGACTTCTCTGTTGCACTGCCCACAAGGAGCTGGGATCACACAGTCTGGACAGCTGACCACAACTACCAAAGTACATCCCATACCACATGGTGCTGTGCTCAGCAATTTGCAGGCAAAGAAGGAGAAGTGGAGATATTTGTAGTGGTGATTACTGTCTTCCTAGGAAACCAATATGTATGATGACCGCAGCTTTCCTGGAACACCTGCCTGTTGATGGGAAACAGGGAAGGAATTCCTGGTTTCACTTTGCTTACATGGGAAACTTTTGCCTTGCTTAGTAAGCCCTTTGTATCAACTCATGAGTTCTCACACTTTCTCTAACCCAGTTCTCTTCCCCATCCCACCCAGGGGCTGAGCAGGGGTTAAACCACAATATCACCTCAACTCATAAAAGCCACCAATTTCTCTGCTTATTTCTGATCCTCAAATACATAGCAACTCTAGCAAAACCTACAGTACATAGTTCTAGGCCTAACTGGCAGTCACTTTTTTTAATTTTCAGCCTAGAAAAATGGTGATAAATCACACTTTTTTTTTTATTCCAACCATAAAGGCATTTACATAAAGTGCCTGCTCTTCTAAAAAACGCACGACCTTAAGCAATGCTGCACATAGGCAAGGAGAGGAGAATAACAAAGGACTTTGAAAGTATCAAAAGGCATCGCTATGTCAAGCCATTAATCTTGGAGCTCATCATTAACCAAAGTGACAGCATTACTGGCTCGAGATGATGTGGTACACACGTAACCAAGTAACAGCTATGAGTATGAAATATTACTCATGATTAATAGGACTTATTACAGAGCGCTTCTGGCTTCACAGAAAACCCTCTAGTTTCTCTTCAATATCTCTCTTAAATTGTCATCACTGTTGTAACCTCTCCTACAAGTCAAGGGCAGCCAGGCAGGCCAACAGCACTGCTTAGCACTACATCTGTGTGCCATGTCACCAGGGACTCTCATACACTCCTTCATCAGAAACTGCTCTCATGCCTCTAGAATCCCTAACTTCCACCAATAGGACATTGGCAAAACTCATCTTCATTACTCCTGCAAAGGTTCATCCAGAGTGCCACACAAAGCAGTGACATTTTCTTGAGACTGTAATTACTGTATCACTAATGCTTTTAAATACTCCAAGGCACTCTTAGGGAGAATTTTGCTTCATTAAATGAGAGATAAAAGGCAGATGTTATTATGTTTTCCAAATCTTTCATTTTTAATACAAGCAGTTTGTTCAAGGTAGTAAGAAAATAACTCTTCAAGAACAATATTCAGGTGAATTTCTATTGCTTTGTGTCCTGTAAGCTTCTTATAAGGGGGAAAAAGCATCAAATAGATTCTCTGGAAGAATAGTTTGTAGAATAATAATACAGAAGGAGGACAGAAGCATAAGCTGCATGCACTCTCTTAGCAACAAAGGAATGCTTTATTTATTTTTCAAGGCCGTTAATAATATGCAATTGTCCTCATGACGAGTTTCTCCAAAGAGAATGGAAAATATTTACAACTGGGAGAAAAGTGCTGAAGTACTGAAGATTCCATGAACATAAGTTTCTTCTCTTAAGGAGCCCAGTAATAGCCGTACAGTTTTTTCTGCAGCTGCAAACTACCACTGCAATTCCAACTGTGACGGCCACTGCGCCAAGCACCAGCTGATCAAGCCCTTTAAGTATCATCTGTCCTTAGGAATGATCTCTATAAATCCAGAAGTCCATGCCTTAAAAAAGAGTCAGTCCTATGTATTTTGTCTGTTTGTCTGGAAAAAAAAGTATAAATAAAAAATCTGCACAGTATCTACTTAATATTATATCCTACTGAGAAGTAGATCACACTGAAATGTTAAACATGAGGCCTGGAAGAACAGAAAATAGATTTTGTGGGGAACACCCACTCATCTGCTGTACTGTCACCTTACAAAGGAAACATCCTTTCAGAGATGAAACACGTTACAAAGCCTGGCCCACTAAACACTTAAAAATGAAGAATTTTCCTCTCACATGAACTAAGCAAAAGTTTGGACAAATACCATTAACAGAAACACGGTCAGACTGCAATGATCCGTGCAGTAGTTTTCCTTAGCCCTGCGACTTCACAGTGACCTACAGAAAGAGCAATGCAAATGAGTAAATATGGAAAACAAAACTTGACACCACCCAACCAAACCCAACACATTGCACCTGAAATGGGTGCAGCTGCTTTTGTTCGGGAAGATGGAATAGTTAGTTATTTTATAAAGCAAATTTGATTTTTATTGTGGAAGCAAAAGTAATCATTTGCTATACATATATTTTTCTAACTTTCCATTTAAGAATTGTGAAAACTAATTCTTTTGTCTATGCAAGTTTGGTGTTCTACAAGCAATTAAAGATGGCTTGGGTTTCCTGCAGATGTTTTCCTATATCTATTAGATTATTGCTGGAAAAGGGTGCTTCACCTATTTCCAGAGTGGGCTTGGCAATAGCTGTGTAAAATAATTGCTAACAGAGTACACTTCTGCACACTTTGATGACTGAACTGAGAAATTAAGATTGAGGCACAGAGGGCTGACCTGAGCGTATGACAAACACCACACATCAAAGACAGATCTGAAATTAGGTCTGATGAGAAGGCATTCCATCTTTCTTCTAAAAAACAATCTTTTAAAATAATTCAGCCATTAGAAGCTACAAAGGGAGGTGTCTATAACTCACAGTGCTTCTAAGTCAGATCTGAAAGATGTGACAGTCCTGTGATAGAACTGAGTGCAGTATGCCCCACGGATCTGGGCTGATGTACCTATGTACTCATAGCCCAAAGCAAATGCTGCACGATGCCATGAATTCAGAAGTTAATAATTTCATGAAGGAGAGCAATCCTGGCTTTATTTTAATCACAAGATGTTTCACTGAGTACGTCATAATTAGATAATATTGAAGCAAATGATCTACTGTGAATTTTAGATTGAATTTAGAGCAGCTATAGGTAGTTGGAGTATTTCCTACATAAAAAACAACATGATTTATTTTGCTGTTCACTCACCTTTCTCTACAGTAGTAGACAATATCATTAAAAATAGAAAGGAAATACAAATCCTTTGGTTGCACACATATTAGCCTCTTCCTTCCATGCTTGCCTTGCTTGGCTCTGGACAATTTTTTGCCACATAGTTTTTAGAATTTTCATTATGTAGTACAAAACATACCAGACACAAATGAGTAAACATTGTCTGCTACCCGACTGAACTCAGTGACACGGGGAAAAGAGACCAGTTCATTCACCATATAGAAATTACAAAGCAGAATAAAGCTGATCGTTGATTTTCAACCAGATTATACAACAGATGTACTTGCTAATAGTCAGATTCTCTTATTTGTGGAGTTCTATCAAAGAATTTACAAGAAAAAAAGGACAACCCCCTCTCCCCCAACCTCCTAAAGTTTGTTGTTTGTTTGCTTGCTTTTAAAAAGAAAGTCTGCATTTGCTTTCTAATCTGAGTGTAGTAAATAGATACTGTTTATAATGTTCATTATAAACAGAGATTGCTCTGTTGCTCTATTTTTAAGTCCCTGATGGGTAATTTAGGTCCAGTGTACGACCCACTGTGACTCTGCCATCACACAGCACAGGTCTTTAGGAGGGGTAACCACACAGCCTGCCTAGGGCAGAATGTTCTGGGAAATGCAGACAGCTGAATACGTGCTGTAATCCTATCTCCTCTGGTCCCAAATTGTTTCCACTGGGAAAGGAATTGCATTAACTGGTAACATGCTCCATCTCTAGAGTCTTTTCAGTTTCTATAAGCAATTTATAGGGACAATCACTGCACAATAACAGGAATACCCATAATGAAAATATTGCTCCTTTCCAGACTTAGTGGCTCAAGTATCAACGTCTGATGTATCTACACTGTGCAGTCTAAACCTCAGCAGGGAGAATTTAACTTTTAAGAGCCTCTCCTATAAAATACTCTACAATTTCCTTCTCAAACACCACAGGTGTATATACATATTTTAATTAGCTTGCTGGAAGAAACATTTGGGACCATATTTTCTTCATTTCTTCCCTCGTTTATCATAATTCCACTCCCTCATTCAGCCAAAAACTTTATCACCTTCAGTTTTAACTATTGAGAATGCTATTGCTATTTCTCCCAGCTGCCTGGTCAGGGCTATATTCATGACATACAGTTTGTCACCTGCACCCACTGATACAGTCACTGGATCAGCATTCTGACATGGTGACTGGAACATTTATCTAAGGAGAAGAACAGGTGAGCAGTGAACAACACAGTTCTAAGAAGGATTCTGAAGTGAATGTTTCTTGATGAAAAGATGCCATTTTACAAATACCTTCCCAACAATAATCCAAAACTTACTAAACCACCACAGGGAAAATATGTCACATGTCTATGAAATATCCACAAAGCACCAGTTTTCAACCACATAAATGCAGCTGTGCTCTGACTGATCGGCTCACCAACTCTTACCCCAGAAGTTTTAAGGGTGGATGAAAAGCTAGCAGCGGTTTGGCCAGCTGAAGTTTCCTAAGCAGTAGGCCAACCCCCTCTAATACTACTCAAGCAGCATTTCCACCAAGGGATTAGATGATTTTTGGTCTATTTTCTCATCTTTTATGAAATAATTCCTCAGTCTAATTAATGTGGAGAGCCCAGCTGTCTTGCACTCCTCTTCACAGAGCTATGAGAAGAGGACTCCAGGAAAGTCACTCTTCAGGGACTCTGCAGGGATGACCAGGATTTAAGATCTGGAAATTGAATTCCCAGATCTCTAGATTTCTTCGAGCTAAAAAAGCAGCTATTTTTGCACATTATGTTAAGACCTGGTTCAAGTCCAGCATTGCGGCCTGATGAGACTAATAGCACAGTAATATATTCACAGACAGACAAGCATGTCATTTAGAGGAAAGCAATTAACAATCCCATTCCCTAAGATTGGAGCCTGACTGCACTTCACCTTCATTCCTGTAAGGCTCACTCACAAATCAGCTAAGGAAACTCAGTCTCATAAACCTGTAGGTGCCTGCGTGTTGAGAATGATGTGCTGCCCATGCCAAATGTGCACAACAAAGGCTGCAGAATTCACACAACCAAGGATGCATGGATGTTTACCAGTATCAGCCATCAAGCCCTACATCACATCACACCTTACCTGTGCTCTCAGAAGGAAAAGGATTAAGGACAGGAAGCAAAACAAGGGCTGGGTGTGCCATGCCCCATCTCAGCACCCCCAAATAGCTCATGGTTATCAACTGAGTTGCTTTGCCATCACCACAGGGTGAGCGAAACCAAGGCAGGGAGCCACAGCTGCTGCTGAGAGATGCAGTGAAGTTCTGTATAGCCTAAAACCGGGATTTTGCTGCTTTTGGTGGTTTGCAGTCCTTGGAAACTAATTGTTTCACTTGCACATAAATCTGGTCCTCATTTTAAAGTCTCCCTAAAGGTGTTGTAGCTCATTAAATAAATTAAATAAGCAGCTGGCTTTAGGTCTAGGAGAAGTAGCACTACTGCATGAGTAAAAAAAAAAAAAAAAAAGTAAAATAAAATAATGGAAACTGTATATTCCAAGTTTCCTTCTAATAGGCAGGGGTTAAACACAAATGTCAATAACAGGATCCCAAGCTGTCCTCAGTTTCATCAACGAAAAAGTGCAAGATACTAACTTGAAAGACAAATGTTTAAAAGAAAAACAGGAACATCAGTCCAAAGAAATGTGTACTTTGCAAATCCAATTAAATAACATGTCTTGGACAGACTCTATGGTAATGATATCCCACAAGTGTTTCTGTGTACTTCTGTACTAAATCAGATCGATATAGGAATTTACTTATAACTGATTTTTAAGAGATCTGGGCAGTACATATTAGGTTAAGTACAAATAAAATTATGTCCTTCCCTATGAACAAAGAGAAAAAGCCATGCCTTCAGCATGCTACACTGATTCCTGCACTGTTACATCTATGCAGGTTCCATTAGGGATAATCAGACCCTTCTTCACTGGCAGCATAAAAACAACCTACCAAACCTAGTAGCATCCTGAAAGGCTTCACTGGGTTTTATTTATATTTGTGTGTGCATATATATATTATTTTTTTTTAAACCAGCCCTCCATGCAGAGACACATCTTGACTTTCCTGACAGCTGTTGGGAGCCTTTCAGAAACACACTTGTTTTCTTCTCCTATCCCACTGTTCCCACCAGGTGCCTGAGAGGTTGTAAACTAGGTTAATAACAAGAGCAGAAAGAAATGAAAAGCGATATTCAATAGTAAAAGAATTTCTGGATTTCTTATTTTTTTCCCCCCTTCTTTTCTCTTTTTTTGAGGGCTGGCTGGGGGGCATGCTCTTTAGGGAAAGCAAAACCAATAGTTGCAACAAGGACTGTTCAACAGGAATAAGTCATTTAATCATCTCCCCCCTCAATCTGTTTCTATTCTCAAATGAAGTATAAAGTGTTGAAGAAAAACCACAAATGAGAATAAGCAGGCTAATTTTTAACACAATTATTACCACATCATTCATCTGAAGTGCCATTATTAATCTGAGCATGTTGACATTTGCTCTTGTGAAATGCACAACTTCTAATCTGACAGTGTCTGTCCAGATGCTGCTAAAACCCTTCGCCTTCAGAAACAACCACCAAAGTGCTGCTTCACCCCAAGCACTCTCTGACCATATATTTAACTGTTCTACTGTTTGCTAGCTGACAACCTTACAAGCATAAGAATATTTACCCGTGAAGGAGAACAGCATCAAATTGAATTACTGTGCTAACAAGAGCAGATAAAAATTTATTTAGAAAAAGAAAACCTAGTGGGCTTATCTAATTAAAATTACTCAGACTTGCTTTGTAATGTAAACAATTTTAAAGGATGCCAAGGTAGTACAGTACCCAGTCTACGTGAATTCATTAGCTCTGAGCTTTAACCCTAGAACTGTCAGCTGTGATTGGAAAAATTATGTTCAAGGTTTTGCAGCAAGAAGTGATTAAATGCATTTACAAAGTGAGGACATCAGTTCCCAAGCTACCTAACATCAATTAAAAAAGGCCAAATTAAATCGATGTTCTAATTCCACAAAATTAATGGTAACTTTTTTTTAATAG